GCTACTGGAAGCCATGCATACTCAGCCATCACCCATGTTTTACAGCGTGCTGTGAATTCTGAGCTTTAGTTTGGGAACATCTTCATTAGATTCTCTAGTGAATCCTACACTTGGATAATCTATCAAAAGTAGTTCAAGATAGTGGTGGACAGTGATGAACAGTGGTGAACCAGTGACGGGGTCATGGGTGGCCAAGGCTCACTGATGGACGTGAAAAGTGAAGCCTGATCTGTGTGGTCTGACCTAACAGATGAGCTGCTGTAGCTCAAACTGCCAAAACAGTTCATGCTGGTTCTGAATTGTGTCAGAATACACAGAGCATCACACGTTGTTGCCTATGGGGCTGCACAGCCCCAGACCAGTCAGGGTGTCCAGGCTGACCTGTTTATCACAGAAAGCGCCAACAATGGCGATGTGAGCATCAGAACTGGACCATGGAGCAATGGAAGAAGATGGTCTGGTCTGTGTTTGTTACCAGGGAAACACCTGGCATCAGGATGCACTATGAAAAGAAGCCAAGCTGACAGAGATTTCTGCTGGGACCTCTTGGGTCTTACCATCCATGTGGATGTTCCTTTGACACCTACCTAAGCATTGTTGCAGATCATGTGCACCCTTTCATGGAAATTGTATTCCTTCATAGCTGTGGCCTCTTTCAGCAGGATAATGCGCTCTGCCATAAAGCAAAAATGGTTAAGAAATGCTTTGAGGAGTTGGCCTCCAAATTCCACAGATCTCAATGTAATCAAGTGTCAAGTGGGATCTGCTGGACAAACAAATCTGATCCATGGAAGCTCCACCTCGCAACTTACAGGACTTAAAGGTTCTGTTGCTAACATCTTGGTGCTAGATACCACAGCACGCCTTCAGGGATCTAGTGGAGTTCATGGCTTGATAGGTCACCATGGTTGTTTTGGCAAAAAAGGAGGACCAGGCAATATTAGGGAGGCAAACATAATGCTATGTCTGATGTGTAGATGTGTTAAACAGGTATTACTTTATCATAGAAATGGTCATATGATTATTCCCCAACGTTGTCATCCAGATGTTTTTATGTTACCTAGCACACCAGTTTTTCTATGCATTCCAAGAACCTCTCACTGAAATAAATCACTGTGTGTCATTTCAGCTATTCAGCAAATATGGCAAAGTTGTAAAGTAAGTATTTTTTTATGTTATTTTATACATTTAAAGCAATGAATGATGCAACACAATGCGATAATTTGGTAGCTTTGAAGCGATGTAACAGTTACTGCCTCAGTCGTTTCCTCACAGGTATTAATAACTATGATGGTTTCTCTCAGGGTCACGGTGGTTAAGGATAAAAACACTCGGCAGAGTAAAGGAGTGGCGTTTGTTCTCTTCCTGGATAGAGAGTCGGCTCATAACTGTGCAAGAGCAGTGAACAACAAACAGGTGAGCCTGTGCAAGGTTATATACTGATTTTTCACTAAGCGTAACCCAGAGGCTTTCTGCCAGCGATGTTTCTGTAATGGATGCGAGCGAGTGAAATATTTTTGCCTCCCAGTTATTTGGCAGAACGGTTAAAGCCAGTATTGCCATAGATAATGGACGAGCAGCAGAATTCATAAGGAGACGGAACTACACAGACAAAAGTAGATGCTACGAATGTGGGGTCAGTAAATATCTACTTTTTACATTTCTAACTAAAGTTAGAAATGCAATTGTGATAGTTTTCCTGTATTTTCACAATGGCACATGTCAGGATTCCGGACATTTGAGCTACGCATGTCCCAAAAACATGCTGGGAGAGAGGGAACCTCCGAAGAAGAAAGAAAAGAAAAAGAAGAAAAAGGCTCAACAGCCCGAGCAAACGTATGTAATTTGTGACATATATATTTGTGCAACAGAATATATCACAGTACATCTACATTTTTATTTTTTTTATTTTTTTTACTTTTAGCGAAGAAGAAGAAGAAGAAGAAAGTGAGGAAGAGGGAGAAGACCCAGCTTTAGATAGCCTAAGCCAAGCCATAGCTTTTCAGGTAAGGGTGCAGAGACAAGAAATATCTACCTAAAAATATCTAGAGGTTTTGATTCAGAGGATTGCATTATGAGTTGCAAAGTTACATTATGGAAAGTCTGACTCAAAATAAATGAAAAACTGTCAGCACTGACATATTTGTTGTCTATTTGTTGCCCTCCAGCAAGCCTGTATTGAAGAAGAACAGAAAAAACAGAAGAGGCTGGCAGAGGATAATGCTCACGCTTCAACGTCGTCAGACTCCAAGAAGCCACGGATCAAAAAGAGCGCATACTTCAGTGATGAGGAGGAGCTCAGTGACTAATGGATGTATAGACTTTAATGTTTTATTTGGATAAATATGGACATTTTTTGAGCTGTTTTTTTTGTGCAGGTGTAAAATATGTTTCAAACTTTATCAAATGTTGATAAAGTTAGAATTGACACACAAAAAATTCAATGTTTTAAGTGCAAAATCAGATTTAAAAAAAAAAAAAAGCCAAACAGTTTGGGTACTGCTTTGGCTGGTTGTAGATAAAATCTGATCTTTTTATATGCTGCCAGTTTTCTATTAAATGTCAAAGGTGATTATGAATATTTTATTTCAGCACAATATTCACACATTTAAAAAAAACATATATACGTATATGTATATACATACAGAGTATCTCACAAAAGTGAGTACACCCCTAGGTGAAAATGTCCAAATTGTGCCCAAAGTGTCAATATTTTCAGTGGCTACCATTATCTTCCAACACTGCCTTAACTCTGTGGGGCATGGAGTTCATTACATCATGGAGCTGGTGGATGTTAGAGACCTTGCGCTCCTCCACCTTCCATTTGAGGATGACCCACAGATGCCAGGCCAGTCAAATACCTTTACCCTCAGTTTATTTAGCAAGGCACTGGTCTTTTTGGAGGTGTGTTTGGGATTGTTATCATGTTGGAATACTGTCGTGTGGCCCAGTTTCTGAAGGAAGGGGATCATGCTCTGCTGGAGTATATCACAGTACATGTTGGCAGTCATGGTTACCTCAATTAACTGTAGTTCCCCAGTGCCAGCAGCAGTCATGCAGCCCCAAACAATGACATTCCACCACCATGTTTGACTGTAGGCAAGACACACTTTATTTATTTATTTAGGACAGTGCATGTTAATGAACATAAATGTAAAAATAAATTACATGAATGTCTTTGTACTCCTCACCTGGTTGCCGCCACACATCCTTGACACCATATGAATAATATTTAGTTTGTCTTGGTCTCATAAGGCCACAAATAATCCATGTCCTTAGTCGTCTTGTCTTCAGCAAACTGTTTGCGGGCTTTCTTGTGCCTTATCTTTAGAAAAAGATTCCTTCTGGGACGATAGCCATTTGATGCAGTGTGTATGGTCTGAGGACTGACAGGCTGACCCTCCACGCCTTCAGCCTCTGCAGCAATGCTGGTAGCACTCATACATCTGTTTTCAAAAGACTACCTTTGGATATGACGCTGAGCATGTGCACTCAACTTCTTTGGTCGACCATGTTGAGGTTTGTTCTGAGTGGAAACTGTGCTGTTAAACTGTATGGTCTTGACCACTGTGTGTTGGCAATAATCTTATAGCCTTGGCCATCTTTATGTAGAGTATCAATTCATTTTTTCAGATCCTCAGAGAGTTCTTTGCCATCATGTGCCATGTTAGCCTTCCAGTGACCAGTAAGAGAGAGTGTGAGCACAACAGCAAATTCAGCACTTCCAGCTCCTTATTTGCACCTGATACCTTTTAACACTAACACTGTATATGTGTGTGTGTGTGTGTGTGTGTGTGTGTGTGTGTGTGTGTATATATATATATATATATATATATATGTATATATATATATATATATATATATATATGTATGTATATATATATATAATATATATATATATGTATGTGTATATATGTGTATGTGTATATATGTATATATATGTATATGTATGTGTATATATGTATATATATGTATATGTATGTGTATATATGTATATGTATGTATATGTGTATATATGTATATATATGTATATGTATATGTATATATATGTATATGTATATATATGTATATGTATATGTATATATGTGTATATATATGTATATGTATATATATGTATATATATGTATGTGTATATATGTGTATATATATGTATATGTGTGTATATATATGTGTATATATATATATATGTATATATATGTATATGTGTATATATATATATATATATATGTATGTATGTGTGTGTGTGTGTGTGTGTGTGTGTGTGTGTGTGTGTGTGTGCTCTTTTTAAAGCTTAGAAAAGCGGAAACCACTTGCAGTGACCCACACGTTGCATATGTAAATGTAGGAAATAAAATGCTCCGAGTGGGTTTCCGCTGCAATAAAATACCTTGAATATAAAAAGATGTTGGAACCGCTCGCTGGTGCGGCGCTTGGTGGAAATATCTTCTTGATGCCTGCTTGCGTCAGCACGCAAATACAAAGAGGGATTTCCCCCATGTTTGATGCGTCTGCGGCAAACTGGTTTGGCATTAATGCCGTCTGCGCGAAGATGCAGGGATATGAAAGGATTCGCGGCACAGTCTAATTTTAGGGGTATCCAACATTGCTACAGACGCAGAACATTAGTGGGATTTGTTGCATTTAGGTGCTGTCGGAAAGTGTCGTAATTTAGAGCGGGTAAAATTGAAAAACAACTACATGTGGAAATTATGGCGTCATGAAGAGCACATAGGGTGCTTTTCGAAACATTTTTATTGGAGGTGTGGTTTAATTACTAAAATGTGAATTTGTTAGAGCATTTCATTAGAGGGAAAGACTGCACGTGAAATATTGTATAATGCATTTAGGCGCAGACTTGTATGGTTTTTAGTCATTACTGTCATAGAAAAGCAAAATGGAATCATTATTTAGCACTCTAAATCGACAGAAGGGGGAGCTTACGCAGGGAACGTGAAGGCGGCATTGATTCAAGAGGAATGTCAAGCCACGGGAAGTAACCCAGCCTGTGATTGGTTACAGCCCGTCACGTGAGCATTTCCCAAGCGGAGTTTCCACGACAGCTGGAAGCCGAGCGGCACAAGCGCATCGCTTCTCGGCTAAAAAAATTGAAATAACAAGGCTCCTGGTCGTCTCAGCACCTCCAGATAAACCCCGGTCTGGCATGGGCGACAAGAGGAGTCCGACAAGGTAACGAGCGAATTAGTGCGTGCTGGATATTCAGGGCTAGGGGAGGGGAACGGACATCGGCAAGCGCACGGGGGAAAAAATGGGTTTTCTTTACGGCCCCCCTCCCCTTCTCCCTCCCTCTCTCTCTCATTGCCTCACTCGCTGCTTGTGTGTATGTGCGCGTGCAGGCTGTGTGTGTGTGTGCGCGCGCGCGGGTGTTAAAACCTCATCGCCAATTACAGTGTCGGATCATAGCGCGCTTTGCAGATGATTTCCTAAATCCTACAGGCTTACACTGATGTTTGCTATCGATAGCCTTCGTGGATGAGTGGTGCCCGAACTCACTCTTGTCTCCTCTCGATCCTTTCCTCTCCCATCTTTTCTTTTCGTTTTTTTCTCCTCTTTTTTTCCTCCTTTTTTTTCTAAATTTATTGTCTTAAAAGGCCGAAGCGTCAACCGAAGCCCTCCTCCGACGAGGGGTTCTGGGACTGCAGCGTGTGCACGTACAAGAACACGGCAGAGGCTTTTAAGTGCATGATGTGTGATGTCAGGAAGGGGACATCAACAAGGTAAGGATGGATATACATTACCTTTGGTGTGTTTTACATTAGTGGGGCCCCGCTGGGGGTGTGAGGGGTGGGGTGGTGTAGGGTCCTTTGGGAATGGAGGGGCTGGCCATGTTAACTGACAATTGTGTGGATTTTGAACCCTTACTACACAATTCAGAGTAAACATAAACAAAGTATCCTCTTTTTTTTCCTCTTTTTTGTGTTATTCAATTTGGTGTGTTTTCTGTGAAAGGAAGATCCGTAAAGTCAGTATGTTTATTTACTAATTGCACCCTTTCACGTCTCCTCTAAGCAGTGCATTAGTCTCCATGTTCCTGCCAGCTGACACTGACCTCAGTGAACTGAGGGAAGAGGGATAGCTTGTTCCTTAAGCACACACATCCATTTCACTGCCCTGCAGATATTTGTAAGAGACCTCTTATAGGCATGCACATGACCTCGCTCACAGGTACTCAAGCGTACAAATGCACAGCACGAAGGTGCGTGCGCGCACACACACAGCTGCCCTCTGTGCCTGTGGCTGCTACTTCCCCCTGACATCAGTGATTTGAAGCAGGAAATGGCTGTTATTCCTCAGTGACACTCATTATCAGGAGGAAAACACAACAAAGAGTGAAGGAGAGGAAGTGTAGCTGTTTAGCTGTGGCTATAGGGAAGCTGTGCATTGTTACATGATCTCCCTCTTTAATGCATCATAATTATCCTCTCCTGCATTAGCGTGACTTTCCCAGTGATTAAACTACAACATAAACAACAATGCTTCAGTGCTCTTGTCAGCTTTGATGCCTTTTCATGAGAGTGTTTCTTCTGTGTGTTACTGAAATGCCCGCGTTTATTTCTCTGTCTTTTTCTGTGTGTGTGTGTGGGAGTGCTAGTTGTGAAAAGAGGTTGTCAGAGCAGCTGCCAGACAGACAGCCATAGCTCATTACTATGCAACAGCTTAATCAGCCTGCTGTCATCAGAGACACACACACACACACACGCTGAGTACAGATGCACTCAACATGCAAATTGTACTCATGACCGCATACATATTTGTTCGCAAATGCACACCCATAAACATGCAGTCAAAGTGCAGAGCTGCTGCTCACAGAGGGAATGAGGAGCAGACATGCTGTTATCATTGGGTCCAGCTTATTGCTACTGAGAGTTGATTGTTTAGAGGACACTCCATTGAGATTGGTGTGTTTGCAGCTTTGCCAAGAACCTGTCTGATTCCTCATGTCACCAAAAGCGTCCTTTGTCTTCCCCATCTGGACTTTTTTTTTTTTCCAAAGTTGGCAAGGACACAAGAGCGAGAATTCCTCACTTGCACCCCTGATACCCAGGCGACAAATTTAGAAAATGTCCGTGAGAAGGTCTTATTTAATGTTAATAACCTTCTGTCTTCCCAACTGCAGTGCTACACAAATGTTGTAGTAGCATTAGTGCGGTCATGTACCCGCCACACACGTGCATGTGAGCCAAACATGGGCTAATGCTGCAGCAAAATGGCCACACAGGTGGTCGCAGCTGTTAATGACCAAACACAACAGACAAGTGGATTTCTCGGCGAGCAAACCCAAGGTGCTAAAGGGCAAACAACACGCAGAATATGAATGCGGGGCACAGCAAATTCCCTTGCTGGTTGCTAAACAAGCATGACTGAGCTATTGCTGTGGAGTAAATGAATTAATGCTCAGCAGAGGCGTGGAGTGTCCAGTGGTTAGAGGAAGTGTCCTGCAGCCTGAAGGACACAGCCAATGTGAGTTCTGTGGGGATGGCTTAAATCAGCCTGGCAGTAACCTAACACATAAAATGGCACTTTGCTCAACTGGATTTGTGTGGTTTTTGGCAAGGAGTCGAGGCAGTGACTGGTACAAAAAGAGAATGTTTTAGGACGAGGTGGAAATAATTTAGGCTGAGGAGTGTTTGCGTGTTGCCGTCAAGAGGTAAAATAAATGTTTTATGAAGGCAAGCTTTAGCAGATCTTGCCGCCTCAATCCCTGTGATGTGGAGAGATGATCTACTGCAGGGGCCCAAAGCCAGCGGGGCTGATTGAAAGCACGTTGTTGAGGCTGTGAGTTTGAGACTGCAGACAGGGATACATCAGCAGAATTGGTCTCGCTTATCGGAGGAGGTCGAGTAAATGGAAGAGCGAGACACTTTGACAAAGTGGGAACTGGCTGACGTTCTTTTAATTCTGTCGGCAGCTCAAAAACCCGTACTGCGAGGAGGAAGTGAAATTTGGAGGAACAAAAAGTAGGGCCTGCGTTTTTGTAAAGCACAAGAGAAAGTGCACGCTCGCTCAAAACATGATGGAGTCATTTGCGCTGATTAATGTGGAAAAATACAGTGTGTTGCTCTTTACGACAAGCTGCGAGCTTACAACGTTTAATTAGGGCAGACTTGGAGAGCTTTGGGATCACAACGTATCATGCAATCTCATTACTGTACTTCAGAGAACCATTTTATCTTCCCAAAACTCTTTTGACTGAGTCCCACACTTTGAAAACAAGCCTGATCGATCGAAGTGTCTTACACCCCTTTTTCACCTGTGCAGTGCCATTGCCCAATTTAGAATCACAGCACCACAAAATTGCTTCTCCCAAAGTTGTCAGTGCTTGTGGGGAGGGGCTGCTGTAACAAATTTACCAATGTTTGGCAGATGTAACCCAACTTCTGCTAGTAATACTGTGTATTGGCTCTCATAGAAAGCACCAGGTTTGGCACAGCATTAGTAAAAATAGACTGTTTGATAATGTAGTACAAGATCACAGATTTGATTCCTGCATGGTCCCTGAGCAAGGCATTTTAGGGTCTCACATCGTGTCTGTCATGACTTGTCCTGTATTATCCTAATCCTTGAGGAATGCAGTGAAAGCTAAGATTTGTTTCAGCTGTAATTTTCCTTGCTGCTGTTTGGAATAAAAGTCTTAAAATGTCATGTGAAGTGGTGCTGAAAGACAGCTGTTTAACCGAAACATCGTCCTTAGCCAATTTCAGCTGGGTGTAATAGAGCAGTGTGTGACCTTCCCTCACATCCACACCTGCATCTGTTCAATGAGCAGAGCTCCAACAAATCAGAGCTGCTGGGGAAATGCTCCATGTTCAGGAGCCTGTTTGGCAGCATTATATTTCTACATATTTCTCTATTTATGACAGCCACTTCGATCATGCTTCCTATTAGTTAGCTCCTGTTTGTGTTCACCCTCTCCCTATGCTTATCTCCTCTTTCTCTTGGCGACTGGCGTTGTGTCTCCCCCTTTCTGTGTCTTCCCAGGCATTGAACTTAACCTGGGGCGTCTGTCGGTGACAGAATGACTGATGTGCAGGGTTTTGCCTGCTCCACCTAAACAAGTGCAAACCATTCTGGCTGGTTGGGAGCCTGTCAGCATTTGACTGTGTTTTGTGTGTTTTTAGATGTTGTTTTATCAACCCCCCCCCACAAAAGCTCACACTCACAGTTTATGTGCAGTCCACATTACTAAACACTGAGCTCGAATGTGGCTGATTCACTCACTGTGAAAATCCAGCTCTCGATATGACTAGTTTTAAGTATACATACAATATGGCTTTTTTACAGACTTTATAGACAAACAGTGAGGACAACCCTTTTTGCTATATTGCATTTCTCTGTATAAACAGACAAACTGTGTAACTAGCAAAGAGCAACACACTCGAGTCATGTGTTTCCATTGCAGTTAAGTGCTAAGAATGAAATGGTTTCAGGGTTTGCTTTCATTGTTTTCCTTTGATCCGTAACACTGAGTCATCCCAGGAAAATGTTACGAAATGCATCCAGGTATTTTTGGTTGTGTGCATCCTTTGAGTTCAGAATAGCCGTTGGATCACAAGTGACTAAGTCAGATGAGATCATTAGAACAGGCATCAACAGATGAGCACAGCTTTATGAGCTGGTATTCATACAACTATGATGACTGGCTGTAAATTGAATTTTTAACTTGGCGTATGAAACACTATATAGCAACAATCAATGTCTTGTAATCCCATTTGAATGATTACTTCCTCTAATAAGTGACACAGTTGGCTCAGCTGTGTGGGTTACTGGTATTAGTGCTTACATAGCATACAAACACCGAGTGCACACCACGGACAATGAAGCTGGCTGTTATCACGTCACTGTGGCTCAAGATTATGGCTACGTGATAAGCCTGTAATTACTGCGGTGACACTGATGCATGACATACTGCTCTGTGTGTTTGTGCAGGCAGGCGTTTGTGTGAGAGGACAATGTAGCGTAGTGTGGCTAGCAGGCTGGAGAAGGTGTCATAAACCACAGGACGTGGAGGGCCATCTGTCTCCCTCTCCCACACAGTGGTAGCATGTACTGGCAGGGAAAGACATTAATCATCAGGTTTGGAGGAGCTCCCAGGAGCAACATACAACCTGCTGATAGAAAATTTGAAACAAACACACAGACACACACCTACACCTGGATTGAGTGTTCAACAGGGCATAAAATAAGCTATATGACAATGATCTCACAATCATCACAGAACAGCGAGATGAAAGTTGTTTATAGGAGCACGCTCTGATGCTTATTTGCAGTCCATCAGCTGTCCTGTTGGCTGTTTGCTCATCACATTGTGTACCCGATAAATGACAGCATGCAGTCCAAACATCTGCAGAATTCTGTACTGTGTTTTGGGAGCCACTCATTAGAAGTTCAATATTTTAACAAAACAAATCTATATAGAGCACAATCCTGAAACACAAGCTCGACGCCTTGTTTTGCTTGTGACTCACTCTGCCATAGGCTGAACATGCACTGCATAGCCACTAAAAAGTGATGGCACATGTGCTCTGCTGATGGTTTGCATATACTAGTTATGTACCTGGTGATTAATTTACCAGTCATTTAAATGAGAGAAAAAATTAGACTGGTCAAGTCGTCTAACATACAGAAACCCTTCGCAAAACATTTAAAACTGAGTGCTTGAAATGGATAAAGCTAACATTGGCCTAACATATATTGCATGTGTATTTTAAGAGTTATA